ACCCCTTCTTGATTAGATCTGGATGTGCTTGTGTATCCCTGACCCTAACACTTTGAGCTAAAAACCAATTGTTTGAATCATCACTGATCTATTGTTTCCATAGCCCAAAATATATTCCCTTCAAAAGTCAATACATTTCTGTTCTTCCATGTTGTCCACAAAATCCAAGAAATGCTATTTCTAATCTCTCTAGGGACTTCTACTCTTCTTTTAACAGCTACTATATAGCAAAAATTAGAGTAGAGAGAATTAGATCGAAAACCTGTTTTCGATCCCAGTACGTAGGAATTTCCACATTTTCTTTATTAGAAAAACACTATTATATAATATAATTTTTAAACTACTTACATAAATAATTTAGATATTAGGTAAGAATATGATCGTACATTCGTACTAGATATATATATTTTTTTTAACGTCTGAGCATTGCATTACTTGTGGTATAAGAACCAAAAAACAGAGTACTAGAGATAACATCAATCTCTAAACGACATAAAACAAAGAAAACATCAAAGCCCTAACAATAAGGGTGGCTGATGTTTATGAACTCGAGTCTCTCACTATTTGATCATGAAGCCACGCCGGTCCACCTAAAGCCAAATACGAATGGAAACGACCATCTTTGGTGACACTTCTCGCAATAGCTCGAGCTAAGGAATTGGAGCCTTGATTCTCAATTTCAAAAGAGCAACTCATAAAACCACACCGTAAATACATAATTTGTTGCAACAAGAATCGATACCTTGGCCAATTTCCTAGTTTAGATATAGCCTCATAAGCTGCTTGACAATCCATGACAATCGTGATTTCTGGAATCCTCAAATCACGCAAACTTTGTAAAGTCCAAATGATGCACTTCAGTTCGGCCGTGATGCGGTTTGTAGACAAAGTGATATCATCTCTTGCATGAAACTTGACCGAACCAGAGCAGTCCCGAGCTATCCAAGCAACCCCAGCATGTAAGAAAGCATTCCTCCAATTGGCATGGATATTGCATTTAGTTATAACCAGATATTTCTTAATTTAGTTATTAGAAATTTTGTTGATGATAAAAATGTTTTATAAGATTGTAAAAACCATGATTTCTCCAAATTATGTAAGATCTCCCATGCTATATATATTGTCAAATTGTTTTAGCGTAGTTTCATCGATTTTTGGCAATCTATTACTGTAACGCCCGTGAACCAAAATTGAGAATTTTGGAAGGTTGATTTGAACCGGTTGGTTCGATTTAATCGCCGGTTTGGTTGGTTTGGATTAAGAGAACCCTAGGGCTCGTGTTTAAAAGGGAGCAGCCTCTGTTTTGTGCAGAGATAACGTGAAAAGTCTGAGAAATTGGAAGAAGAGAGAAAAGGAGAAGGAGATGAACCTTCTAGGGTAAGTTCTCCACTCTTATATCTAGCTTTGTGAAAAATCGGTTTGTCAATTGGATTAGTATTCTGAGAGGTATGGTTGTTTTTCCGAGAGAAATTCGTGCAGAATTGGATCTGCGATCAGTCCACTTCGTGGGAGTTTTCATGTCGAACCAGAAGGAACTAGGAGTCAATCTATATAGCGTTGGAAAGGTCTTGGTCTCACGATTCCAGATCATATTTCCGATCATGATTCCGAGGTACGCTCCGTTCTCAACGTGCTTTCGAAATCGGCTGATTGTTTTTGTTTTCAGGAACCCTAATCCGGTTTAGGAAAAACTCCAA